ACCCAGAAGCTTTGGGCAAAGCACAAGACCTGAGGCGCGGCTGCTGCATATCCACCATCAGCCTGGCCGAGCGCAGTCGCGAGCGCAGCTCCCTCGACCAGAGCGCGATGCGTGGCAGCAATTGTAAAGTACGAGCTTCCGTTGACTTCCTCCCAGAGGTCGTAACCGGTCTGGTTCCAGTACTTGACAGTGTATGCCAGGTCTTTCTGGATAACAGGCCAGACGTTGCTGAGAGCCTTGCTCTGCTGGCCGTTGGCAATCAGCCAATTGGCGTAGAGGGTCAGCGCAGTCGCTCTCAGCGGGGGACCGTCTCTCTGAGGTCGACCCCAAGCTCCGGTAAAGGCAGTACCATCGACGTTGAACTTTGGTTCGCCTAGACCGCCTGAGTCTGGGCTACCTGAAGGGTTGCTGACGGTTTGGAGTTTGGCTTGTGAACTGACATAGTAGTCAATTACGGTCTGCAGAGACGAATCGCCGGCGATGAAACGCTCAACGAGGGCCTTGAAAGTCAGAGCAGAGTCACGAGTCCATGTGTACCAGTCTGTTGGGAGACGAGTTGTCAGCGCTGCAGCCAGAATATTAGATGGGCTCTCTTACAGTCAGGGTCGGAACGGGAGGGACTGGCGACGACAAGACCGGCAGAAACGCCACTTGCCTTAGATCCGTCTGGGCCGATGTTGGCGAGAACACCTGCGATGGAAATCTTGCTCTCTGAAGCGATGAATTCTTCAAGGGTTGCGCGAGTGTACAGATATGGCGGGAGGGGCTCAGAGTAGACAAGGCCAGCCCAGGCCGCAAGAGTGCTGAGAAGCACAGTGGGGAGTATCTTCACCATGATTGCGCACAAGAGAATTAAGATGACCAATTTGTGTGTTCTTGTCAAGGTTGGGAGATGATGGAATGGGGAGCTCAAAGGGCGATCCCCAGCCCTCTTTATAGAGCTTCCCATCTGGTGGTTGAGCTGGGGCCGCAACTTGTAACTACTGACGATGGGGCTCTGCACCACCTGGTCCTTCACATGATGATTCACCTGTTTTCTTTTTTTCGTGCTTCCTTCGGTGCACGCCAAGGGTGGCGGACTCCAACTCCTGTCAAAAGGGCCGGCCGGTTAATTCTGCTTCTGGATGGAGAAATCGGAACCCGATTCTCTCATCTCCCAGAGCGGTAGAAAATGGGTTCAGGGACTCAATCTCAGCACGTGGATGGAAGGGAATTCACGATCATTGATGGTCAGGGCGGGTCTGATGCTCGGTCTGACTTTCGGCATTGGCAAGCGTTCCTCAAGTGACTAGACTGGGGTGTCTGTTCATCTTGGTAAATGGGCCAATCAGTCAAATGGGGAGGATTTAGAAGTCGATGTAGCCGACCAGGGAGGAAAGCTTGTCAAGGGGGAACGTGCTTCACAGCTGGTTGGCAGAAGATGAGTGACACGCGGGGTTGAAGGAGCGGGGAAAGGGGGTCATGGAGAACTGAGCAGGTTCCTGAGCATGTGACACCGGATAGCCGGAACAGAGAAATTTGGTGATCAGTGCGTTTTGGAGATCTATGCCACCAAAAGCAGAGCACGATGGAGTGAGAGAGCAGTGGCTCCCTTTCCCCTTAGCAACGTGTGCCATGTGTGATACACTGCTTCTAAGACAAGACCCGTGCCGGTTGACACCCAATCCAGGAACGGGCCTCTCCACGGGGTGGGTGTCTGTCATCACACATGAGGCAGTGATTAAGCAGCAAATTGGAGCTCAGCAGTGACCACACACCTGCCTAACTCCCCGAGCTACACACGAGTGCCCCAGAAACGAGGCAGTCTGCAATCACAGCAAGCAAGCAGGGAACCTCTGCTCCAGGAAATGACGCCACAGTGGGCAGCATCCCCACGAAACGGCCCGTGGAGGCAGCTCGACTTCAAGCAGAGTTACATGTGGAGAAGAGCGGCTAATGCTGATCGGTCCGACCTGCAAATGGGGTCAGTCCGTCCCTGCAAGGAGCTGACATGGGATCCTCGCTTGGCATTGGCTGTGTGTGTTCAGGTTGCAGAGTTCGATTACTGAAGCTGAGCCTTGAGCAAAACACCATCCCGGTCATCTCCCGGCCCTATTCCAGCTGCTCGCCTCCAGCTTCATCCCAGAACGTTCCCAACGTCCGCTACTTCGGCGCTATAATCGGGCCTCTTACATACCAAGTACGCTTCGCTTCGCCTCCAACCTCAGACGTCGGTCGCTTGTGAATGGCTCGCAAGTCTGACTACGGAAACCACCTCGTCTGCGTTGGATGCCTCTCCTCCGCCCTTTGCCAAAAAAGGGCCACGATGGCGCAAAAGGCGGACTTTAGAGATCCACCTTGACGGCAATTGCGCTCGACGAGAGAAACCCAGTCACGACCAGCCACGCCCTCTTCTTCCCTCCCTCCAGCGCCGGATCAATGCCTAGAAGCACGGCGGCGCTCGACGACCGAATTCTCGACCCGTCGTCCTCGAAAATGATCTTCTTGTTCCATATCTTAGCCGCTTTCCCCTCCTCCTTCACAGGCTGTACCAGCCAAACAATGACAGGTTCCGTTGCTGTCTCATTCTGCGAGCTCTTCGCCAATTCTCCCGCCTTGGTCAAACCACCCAGCACGTACCCGCTCGCGTCGTTCTCTTCAGTCGCGTACTCGTCCTTGAAGTAGCTGGGGTTGTCGATGGTACTGTCCAGGTAGATCGTTTCCTTGACCTTCAGCTGCTGACTGTCGGTAATGTCAGCTAGAGAAAGAATGCCGCTCGCCGCAGACCCAATTGCCACGTCCTCGTGGGATGGGCCATGGCCCAGTCCGTTATTGTTATGCAGCCCTGTCAATGCAATGCTAGCACTGATGCCGGCTTCAGGATTGCTGCTAGACCAGTCATCGATTTGTACTCGGACAGTGTTGGACCATCTGGCAGCGGGAATGAGAACTTCCACTTGTCGCAGATGGCCTTCAATGTAGTGATGGTCATTGGTGACATAGATAGATGTCGGCGTATGAGCAAAGATGTCATTAGGCGTCTTGATGAGAGGGTGTCGTATGGAACGGACCCATTTAGCTGTAGATGATCCGAGAACATGGTGGAAAACCTCGATCTGCGACCGTGCCTTTGGCGTCCCCTCCGGAAGGGGAGTTCGGTTTTTCACAGACAGGACATACTCTGGATGAGGAGCATGGTTGACCGCGAAGATGTAGACAGCTCCTTTTTTCTTAGGGTCTGCAATGACGTCAATCCCGTGCGTGGTAAACGAGCCCTCAAAGTTCTGAAGAACGAGTCTCTTCGACTTGAAGTCCTATTCTCCCATCATGGTGTGTTAGTCATCCGATCATGCTGTTGTCTGTGATCTGATAGTAGTTACCTTGATGTCAATGACGTGAATAGATCCTCGCGCCTGCGAAGCAAGTACGGGGTTCTTGAAGATAACCAGAGGCGGGAACCACGAGAATCTTGTAGGAAAGGAATCTTCACATGCAGTAAATAGCCAGTCCGAGTATCGGTGGATGTCTTCACAATGGACAGTGTCTTCGATTTGAACAATCTCCTCCTCTATATGAGAGAGATTGGCGCTCCGTAGAAAGCCAAGGACCGTCAGCCAGTGGTGGACCACGGGAAAGTAATAGGCCGCCAGGAAAGCCGCGGCTGCGGTTTTGAGGATGGTGATGGGCGCTGACATAATGACCACAATACGGGTCGCCTAGGGTTCGTAATAGCTTTGGAGGCACTTGTTTTGTAGTAGATATCAAACTTCCGCCACGAAATAAATGAGATGACTCTCACAACGCTGCGACTGAGGAGGGGGCAGTGTTGAGGACAAGGCGGAATGTGCGGAGTTGCGGTACACGTTCCCCTCATTAGCTAGCATGTCACACAATGCAACTACCTGCCTCGGCAAAGATTGTCCGGCCTTGCTTAGTTTGCAAAGCCCAAAAGGAAGCGCCGCCAAGGCAATTCAAATTGTGGGTGTATGCTCACCTATGTTGATGTATTTCAATCTGGTGGTCGGACAAGGAGCTGCTCCTCACCGAACCCAGTCGGAGCCTGCGACCTTCCAACATCAGATGAATCAAAAAATTTACGTCGAAACGAAGGCTCTCGCCTAATTTATATTCCAGAGTTTCATCGCCATATCTACTGAATTAGTGTCTCGCGTTCGAAACTAATATCCAAATGGTAGCTTTCAGTGGCTTCAGCATTAACGTTTCTTCATTAGGCCAACTCCCTTATAAAACTCGCCGACAGCTATCTATTTAATTAAAGAACCCCCCTTAGACCTAAAAGACCACAATGTCTCCGCATATGAGCTCTCATATTGACGCAGATGGCGTTTTCGTTGAAACGGACGTCATCGTCTGCGCCACTGGCTTTGTTACGATCGGTTGACCATCAGCTTTCTCCTACATATTACTTGATTGATGAATTATACAAATTGACCCACTGATACTATACATAAGACCCGGATCTGTGAGTGAGTTCCACCCAGCTCAGCGCCACGCGACAATGTCTTAATCTTCTAACCGTACCAGATTCGAACATGTACAAAGGTTAAGGGACTTAGCGATCTCTTCCAAAGAATATTTCAGTAAGGTAGCGAAAAGTTCCTGCGATGAAAGGAAGATGGCCTCTCGCGGATCATTTTCGAGCATCAGTCAAAACGAGCATATGGATGTTGAAATCAGATCGCGTGATTTCAGAGGCGAAAGGAGTCTCCTGAGATAAGTAACTGATAAACCGTCTCATTGGAAACGTTGTTAGACCCCACGCAACTATTCAGATCTAGAAGGTCATAGTACTGAATTCTTATTCTTCAATTCGAGTGAAGATGCGTTTTCTCACATAAGTTTATAAACAGTAGTAGGCATAAGAGATAGGCTCAGTTTTCGAACTTTTGTAACTGCATCAGTTCTGAGAGTTGCACCGTGCTCAATAGAGCCGGCAGTTGGAGTTTTCCCTTTCTGTATTTTAAGTGGAAATAGCAAAGTAACTCGAGAATAAGAATTTTCTAGATGGCAGTGAACATCGATACCAACAAACCGCTCGATGAACCACAATACTGGCGGCTAGACGAAGTCAGGTTGCATGGAGTGGTGCACAGAGTTCTATCTGTGGTTCCAGATAAAATTCCGAGAGCATTTCCACATGTGCATTGCGTGACCCCTGTAGGCGATGTTCCAAGTGAAAAGTAATACGTGGGATAGCCAGAACTCTGAATTGTAGAACAAGTTTTTGCACAATCATCCACGGATGTTGTCAAGGGCCCAGAGTACACGTATGTATCGAACCCATACTTGCCGAGGATGGAGGAATAGCAGCCAATGTAGTCGTAGTTTGTCGTGTAGCCAGCTGAAGCGCCATCAGCACCAGCTGGCCCTCTTCCGCCTGTTGGGCCGGCTGGACCTGGGGCACCTTGTATGCCTTGGGCACCTGTATCTCCTTGAGGTCCAATTGGTCCTGCTGGCCCTTTTGGCCCTTGAGGACCGGTCGTACCAGTTGGGCCCTGGGCACCAGTTGCTCCTGTTAAACCTTGGGCACCCGTTTGCCCTTGAAGTCCTTGTGGTCCAGTGGTGCCTTGAAGACCAGCTACGCCGGGTACACCCTGCGAGCCAATATCACCCTTGGGTCCTTCGGGGCCAGCTGGGCCCATGGGTCCTTGAAGCCCTGTTTCGCCTTGAGGACCAGTCGCTCCCATCGGTCCTGGAAGACCTTGAGGCCCTGAATCACCTGTGTCGCCCTTTAGGCCTGTTGCTCCTGTCTCTCCCGGAATGCCAGTATCTCCTTGAGGCCCTTGAGCGCCAGTTAGTCCTATTGGTCCCTGGGAACCAGTACTACCTATTGGGCCCATCACTCCAGTCACTCCTTGTAAGCCCTGTATACCTTGAGGACCTGTATCACCTTTTGGCCCCGTTAGTCCCTGGGGTCCTACTGCTCCATATGGACCTTGAGAGCCAACATCGCCTTGAATCCCAGTAGCTCCAGTGTCCCCTTTTAGCCCCTGTGGCCCAACTGGTCCAGTATCACCTGTCAAGCCTATCGGCCCCGGCGATCCAACTTCACCTTTGGGTCCTATATCTCCAGTGTCTCCCTTAGGACCTTGAGGCCCTTGAGCACCAGTTCCTCCAGCAAATCCCTGAGGACCAACAGGACCAATATCTCCAGTCAAACCGGTAAGGCCCTGTGGCCCAACATCACCTTTGATTCCTTGAGCGCCAGTTGGGCCTGGTGGACCTGGCGGACCTTCAGAACCGACCGAGCCTCGAGGGCCGGTGTCACCTTTCGGCCCTGGAGGCCCAGTCTCTCCATCTTGGCCATTTGTTCCTGCGGGGCCCTGGTCACCGGTAGCTCCCTGTGGTCCAATCGGTCCAGTGTCTCCTTGAGCTCCTTGCGGTCCTTGAGGCCCAGGCGGTCCTGGAGGACCTACAGGTACTGGATCGTCTTGCATTTCTTGTGTTGGTGATCCTCGTGAATCCCCTGGCGGTTCTGTCCAACGACTCGGCCACCCTCCTGTCCGATACAACCACTCAATAAGCTGCCTCCAGGTTGATTCGCGACGCATGTTTTCTTTTGGTGGCAATTTGTATTCTTGTATATGTGAAAAATCACGTATATATGTACAGCCATACCCACGAAGATTGCCTCGGCATTGTTCCTTCGTAGGTCCCATGATATTCTTATCTTCCCCGTTACTTTGCCTAGTTTGATGTCACCCTTCTTTATTCTAATGATACTCTTTAAATGTTTGCACTTACTTCACTGCCGTACAGTTACTCGAATTCATTTGACAGATTCCGTCGTATCGGTCTCGAAGGTCCGGGACAGCCAGAGCAGTCACAGGAATCACACAGGTCAAGAGCGTGATAAAGGCTATGAAGCCCAACGCTTTGGTGTAGGCTACCTTCATATTAAACCCTCATGCAAACCAAGCAAGCTTGATTTGAGAAATCCAATGCGATAGAGACTTAAAAGATCAAAGGAAATTTTATCTCCTCCATCAAATCCGAAGGGCACAATCACAACATACCTCCATGACAATCTTCGGATATATTTGAGTAAACCAGATACTCTATACTGCATACCTCTTGGTTGTGTGAAACATGATGAACTGTAGCAGGAATGCTGTCGGTCTTCAACAACCTATACGTAGATTGCCAGGACAATGCGTGATACTGTTCTACCTCCAAATGTCTCGGATGATTCAAGTTAATTCCATTTACGACTCGAAATCTCGAAGTAGAATCACTGTCAATTCAGCTTGATCTGGTCATGATTTTCAATAAAAGTCGTTATCTTTCCTATTCTTTCCTCCTCTATAGAGAAAGAATCAAGAGTCGGCTTTAGAACTATCGATATCTTCTCTTTGAGGAATCAATTTCTTCACCCCCCGGTCTCTATGAATGATCACAGCTTACATGACCCACTCAACTGGTATTGTGGCTTTTCATTGCTGGCCAAACGTCCCATGTGCCATAACTGTTTCGCCGGATTCTGAGATCGTCACAAATATATTATGTCTTAATTCAAGTTTCCTGGACAACATATCCTTGGCCTACGGCTACTGGTTCCTCCTAAAATGACTGAACTGGAGAGAAAGACATTTAGCAGTGACTAAGGTATGCAGCTTTCGTAAGGAAATAGTCATAGACGCAATTGGTCTTTACTAGGTTGCATCTATTTTCTATCTTGAAGGAATGTGCAGGACGAAAATGTAGGTCATGGATTTAGCATAGCTAGCGACTACGTTCTTTTCCTGCAAATATAGACATTCACTGTGATGATATAAACAAACTTCTTCTCGTGGAATTATCTACTTGAGGATACCAACTGGTCATTTCCAGATCCAAGTGCCGAACATAAACCCTGGTGAGCCTCACTCAAATATTTTCCAACAATATACCTCGAAGTCCACTAAACTATTCTAAGGCTCCTTCATATAAGTGTCCTGTTTTCATGCCCTTAGGTGAAAAAGAGACCCAGAGAATACCATTTCCACTAGTCAAGTATCAGAAACATGTCTGTGCTTACTAGTATGCAAACTCATGTCATGAGTTTGAGCAATCCCGTTATCATAAACAGACTTACACGTAGAAATTCTATTTCTTATTGTTCTTATTCAAAATCTGCGGCTACAGACTCCTATCTAAACGCCCGGGTTTCCATTGAAAGCAAGTCTGTTACTGGTACCGCTGGGAAGTCCGGTAAGGAGGTCAACCGAAGCAAGTTCCTTGATACGCTCACAGAGGGCGTCTCCCTTGAGTCCTTCAAGACCGCCCAGGTAAGCAGCGAGGCCTGCCGCGTGGGGGGAGGCCATCGACGTTCCGGACATGGTAGCCTAGTAAAATCTTTAGCTCTTACAATTTTCTTCGAATTGTTATCACGAAATGCTTACCGTCAAGTTGCCTGGGGCCAATGAGAGGACACTGGTACCCGGGGCAAATACGTCAACTCCCGGTCCGTAGTTAGAGAAGCTGGACTTGGCGTCAGCAGAGTCCGTGGCTCCGATTGTGCACACAGTGGGCTCAGCAGCAGGAGACTGGTTAGAAGAGTCGATGTTACTGTTGCCTGCTGAGACGGCAAGGAAGATATCGTTTGATGGGAGGGCTGCCGCCGCAGCATTGAGGGCAACCGACACCGAGGATCGGAGTGACATATTGGCGACGGCGCCGTTGGGGCAGCCACGCGTGGGCACATCGGAGACCACAAACTCAAGGCCGCGGATCATATTAGCGACCGTACCGCTGCCATTGTTGTCCAGAACCTTGACGGCGAAGAGGCTGGTTTTCTTAGCGATTCCGTAGGTCTTGGACCCAATAGTGCCAGCGACGTGAGTTCCATGTCCATGGCCTTGGAAATTGTTTAGTCAGATGGGGTTTCCCAAGGGTTCAATACGAGATATGGAGATATCTTACCGTCAATGTTGTTTGAATCTCCATAGTTGACTGCAAAGGTAGCACGGCCTTCAAAGTCCTACGAATATTTTTGTTAGATCAAATCACATTGGGCCCTCGAATGTCGAGACTTACTGTGTGGGTTACATCAATGCCGGTGTCAATGATGTAGGCGCAAGTTCCCTCGCCTGCGGTCTCGTCATAAACGTAGGTGGTGGAGCCCTTTGCACGGTGGGAAATTCTACCAAGGCCCCAGGCGGCGTTGGATTGCTCCAGGAAACCATCGAGATAGACATAGGAATCCTCTTCAATGAATTCGACCTAATTTCAGACGTCAGCACATAGCCATAATCATATGAAATAGCGCTTGTTACATACATCTGGGTGGCTTCGAAGAGCATCTAGAGCTTCCTGGCTAAGCTCGCCAGAGAATCCCTTGAATACATGCTCGAATGTGTACTCGTGAGCCACGGAAATGGTGCTCAGAGCGCTGTCCAGTGAGGCAAGGGCACTGTTGTCCTTGAACTTGACAATGTACTTGTTTGCTACAACATCAGCCCTCTCACTGAGCCTCACAAGAGGAGCAGGGACCGATCTCGTGGCAGGGGCAGCCAAGACGGCTGGAAGAATGGCGAGGAGGACAGAGAGACGCATCTTAATGTTAATGACTCTCAAGATTGTACTTGTGATGTGTGCTCTTGATCTATCCTTGGAGGGACTTGATGAACCAAAGCACATCGATACTTCAGTATCGAGGAGACAGCTGCTATTTATCGACTTAATTATCGTCTTCTGCAAGAGAACTGGCAAGGCAGGATAGTGGGCCTATCTCCCAGTCGGCCACAAGTCTATTGCTTCCCATTGGGGAAGGTCTTCGCCAGTTGCTCATCGGAGGGGTGGATCACACAATGGCGGAGAGTCGTTATCTCTCTCTGGTAGGTAGCAATGGCTACGCGACTGGGCAAAATCCTGTATTGCACTTAGACCTTCTTCTTCCCAACTAATCATCACCTACGAAGACGGCAACAGACGAGCTCTTGGTGGGGGCTCGGAATTGCCAGATGTTGAGGAGAGGCCCCTGCTTTACCAGCAAGTGCTCGGTACCTCCGTCGGCTTTTGGAATAAGCATTAAAGTCTGGGGAATTAAGCTCTCTCTGCTCCAGTATTTCAGTATTGGCTACCTCGGAGGTTTCTGTCATTCTTCCCGCTGATCCCTTCGTGCTTAGTCTGACGTCCAAAGTCCCGTACGAATGCACTTGATATCACCACGGTGTGAATAGCTGCATGATCTCGTATTGGTGCCTGCCCATTGCCTTCGCTTACGAGAAACTCAGGTCACTGAGCTAGAACGCGGAATGCTACGCTGTGGAAGCGCGACCTTTGCGTCCACCGCAGCTGGCACCCAGACCTTCCTAAATGAGGGTGCTTACAGTGAGCCATCTGTACTTTGGGGAGCATTCAGGCATACCGACGTGAAGCTATTAGAATTTTAGGTTAGAATACGCATTTATGGGAATGTGCCGCATGGAACGTACGAGGCGAGTGACTCGTATTGGGATCTCCAGGCCTGTCCTCTGCTAACATATCTGGCCCATTTAAGGAGCTGGGCCAAGGCCCGGATGAACGCACGTTGCCGACCGACAACTTGGGTTACATTGATGGACACTTACTATCTAATCATCAAGGGTCCAAAATGGTAGTGCCGGTGGTCACGATGCTGAGAAATTGGTCATGTCCTTGAGAATTATCACAAACGCCAAGCAGACCTTCCACAATTGCCTCAATTTCCAGGAATGGCCTCAAATACCCGCGCGGCGATGTTCTTGGCGCATAACGCACGATTCCGCAGAGGTGGAAGGTCAAAATACGCTCATCCAAGCCGAATCTTGTTAGGCCTGGCATCTTGAATTTGATGATAGCAATGGTCTGACCCTTTTGGCAAACATTCCTTCCATGGAATAATACAAAACACCATCTGTATGCTTCATATCGAGCTCTATTTCGAATGGCAGCAGCCAAGCGAAAAGAATTTGGTGAACTGGGATTCACTACCGAAGTGCTCTCAAGATGGATTTTCTAGCGGATAATATGTCCAGCTTTCACCACATTCTCTCACTCGAAGGGAAACTAATTATCTGGCGCCCCAATAGTGGTGACTTTCAAGTGCTACAGAGTCTCTTGGGCTGTAACATAGAGTGGGAAGCTGCATATCCTAGCCAAATCTGCTTACACGATTAGTCGATCAACGCGTTTCATCATCCATATTAAGTGCTATCTTCAATTGAAAGGTAAACATATTGAGCTCTCAGTTCCTGCAATTCATCGATAATGTCTATTGAGTGACAACACGTCTGGGTTTCAATCGACTTGTTGAATGGCTTCCGTCGATTCATGTCGGTTGATATTCCCCTTCACAAACTCTCTTCTTCAACGCTTAACCCTCAATCTGTATGTTAAATCCATTCATTGTGTGCAGTTGTCGGGCTCTGGCAGCCTCCATTGCTGTTGAACTTCATTCTCTTTTCTTACATACGTATGTTAATTTATAAGCAAGTTA